ACAGAATAGTGGATAGTCAGTCACCACAGGACTCTTACAAACCAGCCCTGTATAAAATGCTGGAGGAGGTATAAAAATAAAATTCTTTGTTGTAGGGAGTTGTACCTTTTAGGATGTTGAGGATCTTAGGGTCTTTTATCTCTTGCTTGCCTTCTGTTTTTTCATCTTCTTCCTCTTCCTCCACTTCCTTTCTCCCACTTAGGTTAGACTGATGGAGGCCTGTGAGAAGAGAATCTACAGTCATGACCACTGTATTAGTTTCATGTGGCTGCCAAAACAAATGACCACAATCTGGTGGCTTCAAACACGGGAAGCATATTCTCTCACAGTTCTGGAGGCCAAAAGTCTGAAATTATTTTCACTGTACATAAATTGAGGTATTGTCAGAGCACCCCTTATTTCAGAGGCCCTAGGAAGAGAATCCATTCCTTGACTCTTCCAACTTCCCGTGGCTGCTTCCTTCCAGTCTCTGCCTCCCTGGTCACATGGCCTCCTTCTCTTTCCTGTGTGTCACGTCTTCCTCTGCCTCCCTCCTATAAGGAGACTCATGATTACATTTAAGTCCCAGCCAGATAATCCAAAATAATCTCCCCCATCTCAAGATTCTTAATTTAGTCACATCTGCAAAACCTTTTTTTACAAATAAGGTAACATTTACAGGTTCTGGGGATTTAGACCTGATACATTTATGCACTAATGTACATATTAGTGGTGATGAGGTGGTAGAGAGGGGAAATGGGTAATGGGCCTTGAGGAGGGCATTTCTGGGGATGAGAACTGGGTGTTGTATTTAGGTAATGAATCATAGGAATCCACTCTCAAAGCTAAAAGCACACTGTATATACTGTATATTAGCTAACTTGACAATATGTTATATTTAAATCCTATAGAAAAATCAGAATTATATAAAGAGTCCTCCATTTATACTTACAATACTGAGTCCATCCTCTCTCAGAGGTATGAACCTCTCTGCTAGATCTCACCTGCAAGTATTAGAAAGGAGTCATACCTCTTCATGTATCTTCTGTTCACTGGAACAGCGTTTATGTTTGAGCAGAATCTCCCTCCATGAACTGAGGAAGAAGAGACCTCATTGTAACTTTCTAGTTCCCTGAGTACCAACCATCAAGTTCCAAATAATGAAAGTCAGGACCAACAGTTCTTATGGAGAGCTTCTCATTTTTTTCCTCAGAGTTTGAAGGTTATTCTTTAGTAAGGAAAGGACATCCCCTGGGCTTGCTTAATTCTGGCATGTTCTGCCAACATGCCCTCTTCAATTCAAGCTAGAGAACATGAATAGAGAGTAACAGAGAGGATTGATAAGGAGTCCTCCTAGCTGGAGATCCTACTAAATTCACCAAGACATTGAGACTGTGAGGAAAGAGATACTTTGAGCACTTCATATTTAGCTTCCTTTAAATAACCCCATAGCCCACAAAGTAAGTAAGGTTGAGGAGGGTGAAGCTATAAAGGAGCATGAAAATTCATGCCCACCTTCTTTCCTACCCAGTATCCACTATAAACAGACCATGATCTCTTGCTGGGTCCTGTGGGGGAAGGAATCCCTCCAAGTTTGTGAGCATTAAGTTTTATGGGACCTGCAGTCTCTAAAGCCCTCATGTGTCCTTGCTTATCCACTCTCCAAATTTTTATTCAATGAATTTTAGAGTAATGATTCTAATAAGAAATAAATATTACTCTTTTAAAAGAGTATTTTAACATAACTCTAAGACGTACTGAAGTGTTATAGTCCCATACAGACAATAATCGTTTGATTTTTTCCAATATTAGCTTACTTGACATGGAAAAGGGTGAGATTTTTGTATGGTGTTTGATTTTCCAGCAACATTTGATTAGCGACTTCTTACACCCCCTGAGAAAGTATCTCAGGATCTCTGTTGACCAGGAATGGTTTTTTCCAACTCAGTATTTCTAAACTTTGGCACTGTTGACATTTGCACTCTATATTTCTTTGTTGTAGGGATATCTTATGTATCTTAGAATGTTTAATAGCACCCCTGGCCCCTACCCTCTAGATGTCATCCCCTTGCTGAATTGTACTCATCGAAAATGCTTGCAGACATTGTCAAATGTCCCCTTGGGGGCCAAATCACCCCTGGTTGAGAATGACTGTTCCAGCACGATTATTTGCTTGGTTAATAATAATAGCTAGCATTTACTAAGCTACTTACTAAGTTCCAGTCACTGTACCAAGCACTTGACTTGTATTAATGAATTTAACTTATAAAACCTCACCAGATAAATGCTATTATTATCCCAATTTTACAGATAAGAAAACTGAGGCCCAAAAGCATTGAGCAAATCTGCTAACATTATACAACTTTTAAAGAGTAGAGCCAGGATTTAAACCAGCAGTTAGGATTTAGAATTAGAGTTTATGCTCTTAGCCATGGTGGTATAGCTGCTTTCCAGGGACCATAATGTTGTGGGGCACCTGGGTGGCTCAGTCAGTTAAGCACCCCATCTGCTCAGGTCATGATCTCACAGTTTATGGGTTCAAGTCCTGTGTCAGGCTCTGTGCTGACAGCTTGGAGCCTGGAGCCTGCTTCGGATTCTGTGTCTCCCTCTTTCTCTGCCTCTCCCCTGATTACACTCTCTCTCATTTCTCTCTCTCTCTCTCAAAACTAAATAAACATTAAAAAAAAAAAGAATATATTGTTATACACTTGAAAAACATCTTCCCTTCCAGCTATTTAAAGATTGTAAATAAACTATGACAGTGGATGAAAGGAGGACCATTCCTTCCTTTCAGGGAAGGGTGAAAGAATGGTTCTTCGGGAAGACCATTTATTGAGGTCATCCTAGGGGTGAGGCACTCACCTTGAAACTTTGATATGGATTATTTTCACTTAATCCTCACAGTAGGCTGATGAGTAGATATTATTACATTTATTGTTTATATGGAAGAAACTCGCTCCAAACACTAATTTTACCCAAGGTAAGAGCTAGTATAATAACTAGCAGAAACAGAATTTGACTCAGTGCTTTCTGACTTTAAGCCCATGTTTTCTCTGTTTTACTCTTATACTTTCCATGGGTTTAAAAAGATGGAAGAAGGAGCATTTTTAGATGCTCTGTAGGTATCTTCTGGTCTGAACATCACATCATTTCCTATACAATTTCCAAATTATTTGGAGCTGATACTTGGAGATTTTGAGTTCTAACTCTTTCCCCAAGCCCTTAACAAAGTCTGTTAAAATGTGCAGGCACAGGTAGGTGGGCTTGGCATCTGTAGACCTGGTTTGAGTCCTGGCTTGGCCGCTTCACTGCTATCCAACCCTGGGCAAATCATGAAACAACTAGGAGCTTCAGCTTCCTTATTTGTAAACATGGGATTAATAATAATAGTACCCACTCTGCAAGGTAAATATTAGAAATAATGTATGGAAATACAATTATTAGTTGGTACAATTTTGCTTGTCAAAATTGCAAGCTATGCATTTGCCACTTTTCTTTCCACTATCCTTTCAGAGCACTGGCAATGTTTCCATTGCAGTTCCCCTGACCCCATTCAAGGGTGTCTGGAAACCTGCCATTTAGAAATTCATTAAGATCCATTCTTGATTAAAATGAAGATATCTGGGGAGTACACAGAAGTCTGTGTTAGCTAAACACACTTCTGAAGACTGGTCTGGGCACCCAGAGAGGGAAGGTGAAGACAAGGAGACAGTGACTTCACAAGATTTTTTCCAACAGACCATGTGAAAAAGATTATTGTGAAAGATTGCATACCGCGATCTGCATCCAAAGAGAGCAATAATAAATGTTAAGAGCTTAACATTTTTATTCTTTTATCAAAGATAAAAGAATATTCTTTTATTTTTTATCAAAAACCGTGAGCTGTGAATTACATAAATGGGACTTAAGCTAGAACTTAAGTCTTTAACTGTAGATATATGAGTGCACACACACATGTGTAATTGGTGTGTAAGTTGTGAAGAAAGTACGAGAAATGTTGAGGAATGAAATTGTCTAGGACAATACTGTGAACTTTACAACTCAAATATGTGGGACAATATTAAAATTATTGGTGCTTCCAAGATAGGCAAAACAAACAAAAGTCCCTACAGTTCACAGGAATATGTATCACATGTACTCAGCTCAATGGATTGAGACCTTACAAGGTGACCAGTTACTCAAGTGGGATGTCATTAAAAAAAATGTCAGTGGAAAAGAAGGTGTTCATATCTAGTTGCCTTACTGAGAATGTGGGTCACGGTTTAAAGAGATTCCAAAGGTAATGTGATAATATGGCATGTCTACTCAAGGGCAACCAGTGGAAATGTTCTGAATCAAAAATAACTCAACATTTGAGAATTCTGAGAGGACATTCAGTACACCTCCATCCCCAAGAAATTGGGAAGGGGTACAGTAGTCTGTTTCAAGATTTCAAAAGATTAAACTTAGCATGTTATAAATTCATTGTTGAAAATGTTAAATCTCATTACTGATTGAATTTCACTGGAGAAAAACACTGTAGGGAAAGCTGACATTTATCTATTTGGCAAGAATCAGTTAAATTCAATTAAGCATGGTTTTAAAAAGATATTTTTGTAGTCCCTGTGTAGATCAGGGCTGAAAAATTCAATTTACATGTAGGTAATCATGCTATCACATTCTGGTTATCAAAAATGGTCATGGTGGAATTGAAAAATGGTCTATTGGAAATCTGCCATTTCAGCAAATATCTTTATAATAGCAAAGTCTATGCATAGTTGAATGATTCTTAAGCTTTCTTTTGCTTTCACTCAATAATGGGTATAATAAAATTTCACCCCAAGAAAGTGACTTGGAAACTCCCTTGTCTAATTATGGCAGAATTTCACCTGAATATTAATTTGTGCAATCAAGAAATGAAGATGAAATGACAAACAAATTTATTCCAGTTACTACTCCTTGAAAATCACATGTTCATTCTGTATTCTGGTATGGGACTCTAGGAATAACAGAATTTTTCTTTTTCTTTTCTTTTTTTCCAGAAAACAACCCATAGCTTCCACTGTGTCAGAAGAAACTCTAAATAAACCTTTATAAAGAAAAAAAGGGGAAAATCAGATTAGAAATGAAATATTGTTAACCTAAGTAGGTAGGTGTCAGATAGAAAGGCAACAATGGGTTCATAATTTTGGGAGGTGTTTGATTTGGGAGACAAGATAGGGGTTCCAATGTAGAACCTGTGTTTTCTTTCTGGCAGTGACATGCTGGTTATGCAGACCATCCTTCTGAAACAGAGCCACATTATGGTTTGTATGGTTTGTAACGTGTGGGTGAGGAGAATAGATAACCTCCTTTAGCCTTTTAGAAGAGCCAAGACAAGCCATGAAAGGGAGAGAGACAAGTCTCCAGGAAAAGGAGTTACAAGAAGCTACCTCGCATTGACTGTCACTTTGGGTCACCGGAAATACACATACGTGCCCAGGACGTGCGTAGATGCTTTGGGCAAGTTGGAGACATTAACCGTGCATGCTGCTGAGTGGAGAACATTTCAAAGGCAGGGAGCAGTGAGAAAACCGGAAGCCAATCAGAGTGAAAAGGATATTTGAACAGAGAGGCGGGTGCATATAAAGACTAAGGGTTTGGGGCTTCTCCCTCTCTCCAGTGTCTCTTTTCTAGCTGACTTCTGCCCATCTGGGTAGGTATTTACAACTCCAGGAGGACAAGAGGGGTCAGGTGAGTCCTGGGTCAATGAGACTATGTTTACTTGCATACATTTTGTCCCTTTGCAGTTGCTCCGTGAAACGGGTTAAATTCTAATCACAAGGACCAGCATTCCCAATGTATTCTTCTTGTTTATTCTGCACCTGCTTAAGGAGTCTGCCATCGACATGTGAGCTCACAAATGCACATCCAAGAAATGAATAGAATATGTGGCTGTCACTGCTTCCTCTTGTTCTCTGTGCATGGAGAGAGGCTGGGATAGGCTCCATTTGTGATATGGGCCGGTGTTCTCTGCAGCCTCTTTGGCAAGTACACTGTGATACTAAGTGGGACAGTGCTTCTGGAGGTGTCCTTTTTCTAAAGGCACAAAAGGTTCTAAGGTGGCAAGCTTTGAATACATAGCTGCAGAATTCTTCCTTAGGAACTCTTTTTTTGTGAGTATCAGAAAATAGAAGTATTAGCCTGGAGAAGAAACTCCAACTTCTAAAAGACTTATGTCTTAGTTGTGAGCATTTTCTTAATGCCTGGAGATGTTCCTGGACTTATTGCTCTGGTTAAGTGATGAGGTAAACGTCAGCAGGAGAACAAAGTATGGAATGGTAGTCAGTGATCAGCTCTTGCTCTTTGTTTCCATCCCATCTGTGCAGATATTTCTAATCCATTGTAAAATGCGTCATCATTTTTTTAAAGGCTGGGGGTGGGGGAGGAGGGGGAAATCTCAAGTGCCATTTTTTTGCTAGTCCTAATGTTAATCTAGTGATTATTCTGTGAGTGTTAATTTGAGATAGATGACCATCAATGCTATTCTGTCCACTAAAAGTACAGTCTAATATATTTGTTGTTCACACTGAGGACTGAGACCATAAAATTCAAAGCTTTGTTTTGGTTGTTTTAAATAAAGATCAAAGGGAATTGATGGATGATTTCAAAATAGAATGGTATTGTCTGAGCTTATGAATCCAAGGTGTTTGTATTACCCTCTGCCTCACAATGAAATTCACTCGTAATTTATTTGTGCTTACATAAAAAGGAATATAGTTCACTTGAATTTATTCAGAAGAGTACTGGGTCCTCAACAATTACCAGGTGGTGTAGGACTAGGTAAGGGGAAGATTACTTATTCTCATGATTGTCATTTTGTTCTCTAATCTTATATGATCACTATGAGAAAGGTTCAAAAGAATATTACATTAACAGTCTTACTGACCTTAGGGAACAAGCCCAATGTGTGCCTTGTGTCCCATTATGGGAATGTGACACCTTCCAGATGTTACTTCCTGAAAACCCTGGCAGAGGTGGCCTATGAACTTTATCACCCAGAGAGGGGACACAGAGGAATAGGATATAGATGAAACTTATGATTAGATGTAGGTTATTGGTAAGATTCTAACTTTTATTTGGGGTGGGGGAATTCAGAGGTGCTCAGTAAATGATTGGTAACCTGTTATTATTACTGCAAAAGTGCCCTCATCTGCTTTGCTTTCAACCATCAATGAAGAGCAAGAGAACACCAGTAAAAAATACTTCTTCAATGTAATCTACATGGACTTTCTCCTTTTTTAGGGTTCTTCATTGCACTTCAGCATTGTGTATTAATCTATAACTGCCTTGACTCAGGGGCAAGCAGGACATAAATCCTAAATAGTAAAAGTTTTTAATTTAGCCAGTATGTGTGTGTATCTTTATGTACATACATGTATATATCTGTATATATGTGTTCATATGCATATATGAACAAATACATTTATAGGTGGCTATTATTGATACTGTTAGTTTTTCTTAGATACACGCATATACACACACACACATACTATTGTATATTTGTATAAAGCTTTTTAGTTTTCAAAATACTTCTTATAGATGATCCTATTCTGAACTTCAGAATCACTCTGCACAAAGGTTAAATGACCTGCCCAAATTCACACTTACTAAGTGGGAAAGCCAAGCCTGGCAATGAAGTTTCCTGACTCCTGGCCAGGAGTTCTTTCCACTACAGCAGCTGTCACTGGTTACCGGGAAGGTGAGAGAAAGAAACTGATTTGGCTTCTTTAAAGCTGGGAATTATTCAAAGTGACTGAAATATCAATAGTGCAGTTATTTTTCAAGTCAGGTGATCCCAAATAGTCCTATGTGTGATTGAGTTAAGTTGCATAGGTGGCCATATACGATAACGTTGATATGTTTCTGTCTATGTTACGCTATATTCCACCATTACCTGTTGCTCTAATTCTTTTCTTACCTATCTTTTTTATTTACTTTATTTTTGACAACTAAGCCATCTCATAGCTATTCATTACACTAGTAATAAAATCACTGATGCAAATACCCTATGCTGAAGGTATGCAAAATTAGAATCCTGAATCATGTTTTACCTCATTTGCCACAATAGTGGCAAAACAATATTATAGAGTTCTATTTCCAATAATGACTGCCCTTTAGTAAAAAAAATGTTTTAATGGAAATCAGTGGTTATGGTATATAAAATTGACACTATTATTTCAAGGTTAAAACTTAGTGAACCATTTGCTTTAGACATTGCCTTCTGAGACCCCCCCCCCACTTTTTTAAAGCCTAATTTGTGGTTAGGTTTAATAACAGAGATAAGGCTGTGAAGGGTGTTTAATTTAGTCAAACACTACTCACTGGAAGGGTTAGTAAAAGAAACGGAGAGGTGTTAATTTATTGCATACCCCAGCGTAATCATAATCAAAACCAACCAAGCTGACAATTAAGCATTCTCCACTAGAACTCAAAATACCGTTATCAAATGAGAAGTCATGGAAAGCTCTTGGAATGAAAATGAATATTCCGAGAGTTCAACTTGACACATCAGACTTTTGTCTTCAAAAATCTGTTTGTCACCTAAGTCCTACAGGCAATTTTCACCAGTGAAGAAGCCATTTCTTTTCTTGAAAAACAAGGTAAAACCCTGCGTTACAGGGGGTAGAGATTGAGATGCTATAATAACAACAACAAAAAAACCCAAATGTAATGGCTTACATAGAAAAAAATGTGTTTCTCACATTACAGTCCCGCCGATCCAGGTGGTGAAGTAGATTGACTCCTCTAGGTCATTAAAGGACGCAAGTTCCTTTCTTTCTGCTCCATTACCATTCCCTGATGTCATGCTCTTCAGTGTTACCGAACCCAGGTCTCTACCACATCTGTGCTCTAGCCCACAGAATAAGGGACAGGGGAGAGTACAGGCCAAGTGTTTAAGGAGATGATCCAGAAATGAGAGATATCAATTTCACTCATCTTCCATCTCCCGGAATTTTAACACGGGAACTTATTTAGCTTCTAGAGATGCTGGGAAATGTAGTCCGTGGCTGGGAGGCCATGCTTTAAAAAAAAATTTTTTTTTAATGTTTATTTATTTTTGAGAGACAGAGACAGAGCATGGGTGAGGGAGGAGCAGAGAGAAAGGGAGACACAGAATCTGAAGCAGACTCCAGGCTCTGAGCTGTCAGCACAGAGCCTGACACAAAGCTTGAACTCAGAACAGTGAGATCATGACCTGAGCCAAAGCCAGATGCTTAACCAACTGAGCCACCCAGGCACCTCTGGGAGGCCATGCTTTTAAAAAACGAATGGACTAGAAGAAGAAGGTTGGAATGTGGAGAGGTGGGTTCATCTATTAAAAGAAAGTGGAGGGCTCTTGGGCGGCTCAGTCGGTTGAGCGTCCAACTTCGGCTCAGGTCACAGTCTCATGGCTCATGAGTTCCAGCCCTGTGTGAGGCTCTGTGCTGACAGCTCAGAGCCTGGAGCCTGCTTCGGATTCTGTGTCTCCCTCTCTGCCCCTCCTCCACTCCTGCTCACTCTCTCTCTCTCTTTTTCTCTCTCTCTCTCCCTCCCTCCCTCTCAAAAATAAGCATTAAATTTTTTAAATTTATTTTTTAAAAATTTAAATAAAAGAATATGGAAAAGAAGGTATACTGGGGAACATCTAGCATTATCTGTCACAGCCAAAGTACACAAGGCAAAATGAATTTATCCAAGCAGGAACAGAATTAAAACAAATCATCAAAGGTGTTCAAACAAATAAAAAATGAAGCAATCCTGGTAGTACTTGGGTTATGTACTATGGATTTCAACTTTCTGAGTAATAACTTTTCAAATAATGCAATCTTAACAATTTTAAATTCTAATGTGAGACAGTCAATGTTCTCTTCTGTGAGCATGTATCTGAGTGTGTATGCAATATTTATTAAACCTTCTTAAATAAGATGTACTGACCAGGTTGAGCTAATTTATATTTTCATTCAGTGCACGTTTATTCAGCACCAGTTATGTGCCAGTGACTATGTCAGGCTCTGCATAGGGTTTCCAATTCAGTCTTCCCAACAAGCCAATGAGATAGGATACATTTTCCCGGTATCACAGGTGAGGAAACAAAATGTCTAAGAGGTTAAATAACATGCTTAAGATCACAAAGCAAAGCCTAGTTTTAAATCCTAGTCTCTGCTATTTATTCTATTTCTGTCAGTTTTCTTCATTCAGCAAATATTTATCAAGCAACTTCTATGTCCTGGTGGTAAGCTAGATGACTTCATAGGTTTTACTCACATTTAACCTCATGACAATCCCATAAAGTAGATGTATTTTTCCATTTTGTAGATGATGCAGCTGTGGTTCAGAAAAGTAAAGTAACTTACCCAAATTGCAGAGCTATGAGTACAACAGATAGGATTTAAATCTACAGTACTGGCCTTTCTACTCAGAATTTGCCTTTCCTCCTATTTTATGAAGTCACTGATCCCATTGGGCTCCCAATTTAGACACATTGCAAACTCAGTTTACTTCCCTCTCTGTATTCCCCATCCACTGCCTCGCCATATCCTGGCAACCCTACTGCAGACACAGCTTCTATCCACCCTCCAGCCTTACCGGGCCTTTATCATTTGGGGCCTGGAACTGTTTCCACATCAGCCTTTCCACAATCAAGTTATCCTTAGGTATTCCAGTCTCCACATTGTCACGGGGTGGTCACTCCCAAGTAAATAAAAGCACCCAGTCACAATTCTGTTCTTAAAATGTTCCATTTGTTCTTTGATCTCCATAGAATAATATCTCAGTTCATTACTTTGGCATACAAAGCTCTTCTCAGTTCAGCTGCGGCCTCATCTCTCATCACTCAGCTCCCACCCAACCTAAATTCTATCCGTACTTAATGCTTTGCTAATCTCCAAACCCATCTGCTTTTTTATGCCTCTGTACTTTTGTACATGATGTTCTTGTGTCCTAGAGTAGCCTTTCCCACTTTTTTTCTGCTTCTAAAACTTGTACACTTTAGAGAGTCCATTATAATATAATATTATAGTTGGTCACACTTCTTTGCTCCCATAGTACTCTGGTGTGTCTTAAGTGCTATCATAATTATGTGTACGCATGCCTGTCCATCCAGATTATGCTCTTCTTGACAGCCACGACCACCTGGGTCTTGCACAATGCCTGGCACATAATAGCCAGTCAACAAATGTTTAATTGGGAACAGTGGGTGAAAGTCTCAGCTGCTATGCTTAGCACAAAGGTAGTTATGACGCAGTGGCCATTTAACAACAAAACAATCAACTGTTTATTGAACATTTATTCTAGAAAAGCTCTGTGGCTTGGTACTCTAATGGGATCAAGAAAGGATAAAATAATCCTTGCTCTTAACT